CCCAGACTGGCGAGGCTGCTCAAGAGCGAAACACGTGTATCGGGCTGTACAACAGCCCATTACCAGACCACATGACATGTTGGCTCAAATATAATTATGAGATATGTTGAAATCTTTTTGATTATACGACTGTGTCCTAGGCTCGTCTAGTGAAGTATTCATTTATTTTGATGTTACTAATGAGGCACTGTTCTTTGAGAATGCAAAATGATCTACCCGTTACATCATTATAATGGTCCTGGGCTTCAGAAGAGATAAGGTAGTCTATACCTGAACTTATGCAAACCTTTTTCTACAGCCACTAGGGCGTATTGCGGATTTATGCGTTGTTCATGAACGTTCAAAGAAGGCGGCGTGAATTACCTGCATTGTTATCGATTATTCTAAACAGACTATTTCATAAATTGTTTTGGAGTTGTGTCTTATATATGGGAAAGTAAGCAGAATGTTCATGTCGCTTGATTTATCATTCAAGGACTGCTGGTTTGCTTGAAATGCGTGTTCGCTCATGAGGAAAACCGTATATTTCTTGCAAATACCGCTTGTAGTAAAAAGTAAGTCTTAGGGATAGTATCTTGAGTCGTTATGTGAAAATGTTTTAGAATGACGGTTCTGTCAACAGCACAGTTAATACGTCTAGGTAACCACAAACAGAATTAACATATTGCATCCATTTCGCTGCGAATGTTTTTGGAAGAAATTGCTCACCTTTCATAAATTGCCCATGCACAAATGACACCTTATTTCGCAGTCACAGAATGCACTCGGTGATTTCGTGATAATGCCAGTCATCGTTGTTAGAGTTTTCGTATCCTTTCATAACTTCTGCACGTAATTTAACGTCTCAACTTTCGCAAGTCCGTGGATGAAAGATTTTGTGACGAGACATAATCAAAGTACCGAAGCTTATTTTATTATAACTCATAGCCTCTCCTTAAATCCTTAATCTCAAATACCAATCTATCAAGACAGTTCTACTGTTTTTCGATTTTCCGCCCTGTCAATATCAAGTTCATTGATTTCATATATCGTGGAAAGACCAAATTCACAAGTAGTTTATTGAGAGGAAACTACTAAATTAAATTCATTTTCATGGTTAGCAGCTTCTATAAACCGGCGTTTTCTTCCTTGTATTCTCTGAGTTATTGTTGGAGACCAGTCGTACGCAGGTTTCATGAGTATATCCAGCTCAAGTCAAAAATTCGACCTGAAATATGGGATGGAGTTTGGGCACGCGTGATCGTCAAAACGCTACTCCTTGTAGTCCATCCGAGGATCTTTGGAATTATCAGCAGTGTTTGAGTGCAAAATTTTTTTTGCGTGCTGATGTATTGGAGTTTCTGGAAAGATGGTAGCTTCTGTTTTGAATTCTCTGCTCTAAGTCTGATTTATGTGTGCTTAGTGTATTCTCTTTGAGCTACGCTTCCTGAAAATGTTTTCTTTTTAACGGCAACACTGAGTGATTTGCTCGTTTCGCTAATTAATCGCCTCAAACGCTTTAGAGAAGTCAGTAAAAAAGGATAAAGCTCTCGGCGTTGACAATCCCTGAGGGATGCGCCATGCATTCGACTTCAATTTTTAACTTCGTTTGAGGGACTTAATGCATATCTGGCCTTTACAATGACTCGCGGTGGCCTCCCGCTGAACCGAGTCAGTGCTGCTCATCCTCCCAGACGAGTCTGGGACCTGCCTGGTATCAATTTACCGACCCCGTAGGGACAGATGGCTTGGTGAGCCATGAGCGTGAGATCGAACCATTGACCACGTATGCGACGCAAAGCACCTCCAACCACTGCGCCATATGCAGTCAGCATGTTACTCAAATTGACTTCTACGTATTCTCTACCCATTATGGCAGACTATACAATTTTCATGTTTTACTTAAGTCGTCGTATATGACTTTACGAAACAGTTGCCATCTTGTTTTGTTCACGGTATCTCAATCAGCAGGCCGCCTAGATAGCGCTTGAATTCTGACTGAGTACGCTCCGCATTTCTTACCTTCTAGCTTCCATCTGTCCGTCTTCTTCAATGAACGAGACATTGCTTTTGCAGCCACTATACTTTCTTGTCGATTTGAATATAACTCACATTTTGGATATCTTTGCTACAATTCGACCAAGATCTTGTGAGCGGCAGTGCAATCGGAGAACACATCGTTCAGGAGCTCTATGGTAGGTGTAGGCAAAGGTAAGGACGAGTCGAAGATTGTATCTTTCGCATAATTCTATGACCCCAGAGATATGTTTTCACTGCCCATGAAACAGAGTTTCAATTGCAATTTGCCTAGTGGTATCTTATTCATGTTTTTGTTAAGTACTGTGGAATAATGTTGGTGATCATCCTGTACAGAATAGTGAGCATTCAAAAAAAAAAAGATAGTTGCTACGAAGAAGTTTTCGTCATCCTTTTAGGGCAGAGTGGGCTTTTAAGAAGTCCTCCAGTAGGTGGAATTCTATTTCCTCTAGAGGCTAAGATATCATGTACGATCTCAAAAGTGTATGAAGTTTTAATACCCAGGTTGAAAGAAGCTGCTTGATGCCGGATGGTATACACTAGAGTACAATAAATCAAGCATTTTATTTTACAAGGGAAGGAAGTGGGAGGTGATCGACCTCGTTTTACACCTTTCTTCGATGCGCTGCATCAATAACGACCACACTAATCCACCCTCCCTCATTTCAAGTAACGTATCTATGAAAATAAGGAAAGCTATATAGCAAATTCGCAGTTTATTCTGGTCCTTTGGATCGTTACTTTATCAGATTTTGATGGTTATTCTCATTATGGAGTGAAGAACAATACCACCGTTGATGTGACTGAACAACATATTGTACAAATAGATTCCGTTGCCCTTAGATAATCAGATAGGTTACTCTGAATTTCCCAGAATCGATTTGATCTACCTCAAGGCATCGATCGCACTCTCTGCAGGTCCATAACTGACCCGCCAGCGATCGTGGGATGCGTTGCGTCCGCGTTGCGTGCGCGAAAAACACACCTCCTCCCTCCCCGGCAAGTTCAGTTTCTTCTGGGCGGTTTTTACGCGAGGTGACGCTGATGTGCTCCATCGGCTTCATCGACTCCATCATGGTGTGAGGTCAGAACAACCGCGTCATCTGACGGGTTCAGTCTTCTCAACATGCCGACGCTCGTCCTCATCATTGGTCGCGTCATTAATCGCTCTACAACTACAGGTATGTGGCCTTCTAATAAATTTGTAATTCATGTGAAAATATCTCTTAACTACAACGTTCTGTCTTTTCTTCTTTGTTTCTCTCAAAACTGTCGTTGTTAGGGACACAGAAAACTCGTTTGAATGTATCGTTTTGGCCTTCAAGGGCAAACGTTTGGGCGTCTATTTTATATCCGAGAAAGAAAAAGGCGTAGTCCTTTTCTTTCTTTGTCTGTATTTTGTACAACATTTCGAAAAAAATCAACGCATAAGCGTAAGTTTCTTAGTGTGTGCACAGCGCTTTTGTATTGCTTGCATTTTTCGAAGATGTCAAGCTTTTTCCTGCATACTTTACCGTACAATAATGCCAGAATTCCACCCAGGATGAAAAATAATCCGGTGATGCCGACTTACGTGGGCGAGTCAATCATCCCTGAGAAAGAGTTGACATATATATACATGTATATGCGGTGCGGAGATAGTAGTGTCAGTTTTTATTTTGTCCATTTTAGCATTTATATGATATTTTTTACACCGATGTTGATGATTTTATTGAATTCCTTGTTCAATTTTGACGTAGAATCCACGTCATTTATTTGTCTAATTTCAGTAGTTTATTCTGTTAAGCATTTCCGAGGTGTTAGGTATATTATTTGTTTATTGAATACTAGTGTACAAAATGATACAGTGAAGTAGTGTGGAACAAATAGTACAATAATCATGATGGCTTAAGTTTTGGCAAGGTACGCTATCTTCAGAGCGTGAAGTTTAAAAAATCAATTTGACCTTTCCAGGCTCTGAAAATTTCGAACTTCGCGGAAACTTAAGCCACCACGATTACTGTACTATCATACTACATTACTTCACTGTATTGTATTGCATCATTGGTATTCAATTGACAAATACGATACTTATCACCTCGGAACTGCTTAACAGAATGCTGATCTATTCCTAAAATGCCGAGATTAACCGGTAGTCCGTCTTGGGAATTGTATATTCTCAGTTGTGCTCAAGTTATGGATCGTGTTTCAAATCAATGTTTCACGATAGTTGAATTGTACAAGATGCTCGCACACGTTTCTATCGTATTTCTATTGCCATTATCGACGTCAACTCTCCAAGGAGGGTCAGCAGAACTGTGTAGTAGCAAAAAACATTAGGCCACAGTTACTTTCGGCCTCTATGGTGGTCTGGGCCGGCATTTGCCCCACCAGAAAAATACCGTTGGTCTTCATCAACAGAACGTCAAAATCAACGCTGCCAGCTATCACCAGCAAGTTTCACGAGGCATACATGAACCATGAACTACTCAACACTTTGGCGCCAACAGATTTACATTTCAACAAAGCTGAGCATTGCGAATTCAGCTTGCTCAACGATTGCCTTATGTTAAGAACTGTTTCCATTGGTAGAGACACTCGGCCGTCAGACTCGCCTTGTCTCAGCCCAATGGATCACCCTGTGTTGTCCATGCCGTGTCAGAAAATTTAGGCGACTCGCTGCAGCACCGTAGACGCGTTTGCTACGGCTTTAACACAGGCTGTTCACGAACTCATAGCGGAAACATGAGCGAGCATTTTGTGCAACTCAACTACTGTGATTCGTTGATTTTCACTCGAGCACATCTGAAGTCTAGACCAAATTTCATCATGGAATTTAATAGAATCACCACACTAATAAAAAAAATGTCGTATCAGTGCTAAAATTAGCAAAATAAAAATTCGCAGAACTTTTTTCTGGATATTATATATATACATATATGTACATAATATATATATATATATATATACCTTGGTGAATTAAGTGCATTTGTGGCACATTTGGCGCCACTAGTGGTGTAGTGGCAGCACGCGTCCCCCGTATCGATGAAGCGCGGGTTCGATTCCCGTCTGAGGCCTTGCTCACCACTCAGTTCTCTTAGGGCCAATCCTCTTAGGGCGCTCAGTCCGCTATGCTAAGAGTAGGCGACGGCGAACATTTTGCACTATAAGTCAAGTGAAATTGTCACTGAACAGACAGGCATATGATTATCTGGCATGTTGAAATTTCAGCGTGGTTTTGACAAAACACTGGAAACAAAAGGTACGATAATTTGAAGATACCAGCCAAGAGCAATCCAGCGTGCAACACTGTCCGTTCAGTAATAATTTCACTTGACTTACAATGTAAAATGTTTTGTCGTCGCCGAAAGCCGACACTTCAGGCTACAGCCATATACGCCACTTTTCGAGAAAACTTTTTTTGTCGTTGCTACAGAGGAATTCATGCTTTGGAGACGTGCATATTTTTCGCCGAAACAGAGCTCTTTCTTCAGACTATTAGTAATCATTCGATAGCGTAATCGCTTCTGATTCCAACGCTGTGTTTAAATTCTTTAAAGATCGTTTCTCTGCAACGTTGCACGAAAAATAAGATCGGTTCACATGCGCAAGCAAGGTGGTCTCTGGGCAATTCACGGGCCGCTGGCCGAGGCAGCAATGGGGACTGCGCAATTATCGGTTGATTTCCGACCGGTCTTAAGCTAGTACGATTCTTTGTTATTCAAATAAAAAGTATTTCTCCGCTTCAAAGGAAAGCTCCAGATGAAGCATGTGACTCTGCTACAAAAGGCTTTAAATACGTTTACTTGTCATGAATGCGCTTAGAACAATCAATATCATTGTCACTTTCATGAAATTCGGGGCGCCAGAACGTCGTCCTTTGCTTCCACCTGTAACTCGGAAGCATTTAGATGCTACGAGCTTTTCTCTACACGCTGATGTGCTCGAAAATCGATCGATAATCGCGCAAACCCTATTGCTGCCTCAACCAGCGGCCGGCGAAGTTGCTCGCTCATGTAAATCAGTCTTATATTCTCTGTTGCGTTACAGAGAAATGCTCTTTACATGACATAAACACATTGTTGGATTCAGAAACGATTACGCTGGCGAATGCTTACTCATAGTCCAAAGAAAAAGCTTTGTCCGGCGAGAATTATGCACGTCTAAAACGTAATTTTGTGCGGATTCTACAGCGTTGTAAAAGGGTCCTTTCAAAAACCGGCAGCATGGGGTTGTAGCCAGAATTGTAAGCTTTTCAACGGCTATAAGCACTCCTGTGAGCACTTTTTCTCCAGCGAATAGTCGGTTCTTTTGCCTTCTTATAATCACAAAAAAAAACCAGAAATATTAGAAATTCAAGACAGCACGAGCCCTTTATTAAACCTACTATATATATATATATATATATATATATATATATATATATATTTATATTTATATGTATATATATATACATATATATAAACATGTATATATACATATATGTATATATATATATGTATATATATACATATGTATATGCGTACAGTATAGTTAAGTGGTTATGTCGTAGTGAATTAGGAGCAAGGTGATAGACAAAGTCTGAGCCCCTTCCCACTCCAACAATCTCACCCACTGAATGAGTGGACGCGTTATGCCGTCTACCTTCAAGATTACATGGAGAATCGACTTGGCAAGCATTCCACGGCATTCATGAAGAAGACGAAATGCGCAAGCAGCGGCCAAATCAACAATTGAAGTCTTCAGAGGCCTTTGTGGAGTTGTGGTCTGGTATCCTCGAAATAAACTGTAATGGCTGGGCTCGTAAAATCAAAACTTATCTTTAATACTAATTGGAAAATGGAGCAGAGTTCCGCGAACTACTCTTTTGGGTTCCTAAGCAAGGATCGTAATTCTATTAAATCATCATCAAACTGCTTCTGTGCACAGGTACTGGAGTTGCTTTGTTTTCTTAGATCGTTTGCAATCCAGTTGCCCTTTTATTCTGTGATGCGCTGCTTGTAGAATAAGGAGGTTTGCCACCCATGTAAGCCTCATAGTGTTCAGAGCAGATTAGAATGTGTCACAAATCATAGCTGTCTCGCGCTAAATGCCTGAGAAAATCGGATGGGTTCATTTTTCGCCTGAATCTTTCTGTTGTGAAAAAATCTGATCTAATCATGGCATCTGAAAATGCTATAACTGATCAAATAGAAAGTATGTCGCAATTTTCGCCATAAGTCCTTGCACCGCCTCCGATAAGATACCGTGTCGAGCCAACCAGACACTTCTGAGAGAACCCGGAGGGAGCTTTCGTCGCCATCAGCGAAAGTGTTGTTTCTGTCTCATCAATATAAGCAATACCACTCCACGAAACATGTGGTCTGATTGATCTCACGCGTCCCTGTGTCTACTAAGCCTTTCGATTGTCGGCTGGCGATCTCAGAGCTGTATCTCGTCGCGTACGAACAAGTTGAATCAGGTTTGAACTTGTTCGTCATCGTTATCGTCATCGTTATTACTATTGTCATCATTACCAATATGAGCACTCAGTCATAGCTCGTTAATCCAGTTGTTGCTCTTTTTTTAGTTGTTAAACTTTTGTTTTCTCATATTTTACTATTTCTATACTTGATTTCAAAACGCTTCAACTTTAGGTATACGAAAACAATGATTCAGTCAAGTTTGTATAAGCCGCTATCCTTTCGTGCTGTAAGCATTTTTCTGGACTAGGTTTCAAACTTTGTAGTAAACATATATTCTCAATTGTTTTCTGAAATATCTTTTGCTGATCCTCTTTGACTTTTAGCTGCTAGAGAATTTTCGCATCGGCTTAACAAAACACTGGAAACGAAAGGTGCGATATATTAAAGATACCAGCCAAGAGCAATCGAGCGTGCAACACTGTCTGTTCAGTGATAATTTCGCGTGACTTACGGTGTAAAATGTTTGTCGTCGCCGAAAGCCGACACTTCAGGCTACAGCCATATACGCCAGTTTTCTAAAAAAATTTTTTTTTGTCGTTGCTACGAAGGAATTCTTGCTTTGCAGACGTGCATATTTTTCATCAAACAGATCTCTTTCTTTGGACTATTAGTAGTCAATCGATAGCGTAATCGTTTCTGATTCCAAAGTTGTAATTAAATTCTGAAAACCGTTTCTTTGCAACGTTGCACGAAAAGTAAGATTGATTCACATGCGCGAGCAAGATGATCTCTGGCAATTCACCGGCCGCTGGCCGAGGTAGCAGTGGGAGTTACACAATTATCGGTTGATTTTCGACCGGTCTCAACCTAGTACGAATCTTTCTTGGTCAATTAAATAGTATTTCTCCGCTTTGAAAGGAGAACTCCAGATGAGGCATATGACTCTGCTACAAAAGGCTATAAGTACGTTTATCTTGTCATGAATACGCTTAAAACAATCAATATTATGATCACTTACATGAAATTCGGGGCGCCAGAACGTCCTATTCGCTTCCAGCAAAGACTCGAAAACATTTAGATGCTACGAGCTTTTCTCTACACGCTCATATGCTCAGGAATCGATCCATAATCTCGCAACCCCTATTGCTGCTTCAACCAGCGCCGGTGAACTTGCTCGCACATGTGAATCAACCTTATTTTCTCTGCTGCGTTACAGAGAAACGCTCTTTACATGATATAAGCGCAGCATTAGATTGAGAAACGATTACGCTGGCGAATGCTTAGTAATAGTCCAAAGAAAATGCTCTGTACTGCGAGAAATATGCGCAACTAAAACATAATTTTGTGCGGATTCTACAGCGTTGTAAAAGGGTGCTTTCGAAAACCGGCAGCGTGGGGTTGTAGCCAGTATTATAAGCTTTTCAACAGCCACTAACACTCCTGTCAGCACTTTTTCTCCAGGAGGTTGGTTCTTCACTTGCCCCCTTATAATCACAAAAAACCCAGAAATCATTAGAAAATCGAGACAGCCCGAGCTTTTTACAAAACCTGTCTCACTCAGTGAATGAGTGGACGCGTTAGGTCGTCTGCCTTCAAGACTACATGGAGAATCGACTTGGCAAACTTTCTACGGCATTCATGAAGAAGACGAAATGCGCAAGCAGAGCGGCCAAATCAACAATTGAAGTCTTCAGAGGCCTTTGTAAAGGGTTAAATACGAGGAAGCGATTTGGGTTCAAGAAGGTCTGGTACCCTCGAAATAAACTGTAATGATGGAGCTCGTAAAATGAAAACTTATCTTTAATCCTGATTGGAAAATGGAGCAGAGCTCCACGAACTACTCTTTTCGGTTCCTACGCAAGATCGTGTTTACTATAAAATCATGATCAAACTGCTTCTGTGCACAGTTACTGGAGTGCTTTTGTTTCCTTAGATCGTTTGCCATCCAGGTACGCAATTATTCTGTGATGCGCTGCTTATAAAATAAGGAGGTTTGCCACCCTTGTAAGCCTCACAGTGTTAAGAGCAGATTAGAGTGTGTCACGAATTTTAAAGGTCTTGTGATAAATGCCTGAGAAGATCGGATAGGTTCATTTTTAGCCAGAATATTTCTATCATGAGGAAATCTGATCTAATCATGGCACCTCAAAATGGTATAAGTGATCAAATAGGAAGTATGTCGCAATTTTTATAACAAGTCCTTACATCGGCTCCGATAAGATACCGTGTCGAGCCAATCAGACACTTCTAAGAAAGCCCGGAGGGAGCTTTCGTCATCATCAGTGAATGTGTTGTTTCTGTCTCGTCAACATAAACAATGCCACTCCGCGAAACATGTGGTGCGATTGTTCTCACGCGTCCTCTGTCTACTAAGCTTTCGATTATCGGCTGGCGAACTCAGAGCAGTGATCTCGTCTCGTGTGAACAAGTTGAATCGGATTTGAACTTGTTCGTCATCATTATCGTTATCAATATTACTATTGTTATCATTACCAATATAAGCATGCTCTTTTTTAATTTATAAACTTTTGTTTTCCTTATATTTCACTACTTTTATACTCAATTTCAAAACGCTTCAACTTTAGGTATACGAAAATAATGAGTCAGTCAAGTTTGTATAAGCAGCTATCGTTTCGTGCTGTAAGCATTTTTCTGGACTACGTTTCAAACTT